CACAAGCATTCTTTACTCACTGATGATTATCTACATGGGATTACTTTTGAGAGAGTAGCATTATTTCCAAGATGTGGAGAGAATTTGCTGATTAGTCGCCTCCAATCTAGAGGTATTGTAATCCAAAGGGAAAGAGTCATGGAATTATTACGGAGAGTTGATCCAATTGGTGTCATGGCTCGGTGTAGAGGTCGGTTGCATTGTCAGCAGTACAGTGTTCCTTCTACTAATGCTTCTTTGCATATAGAGGGATATCACAACCTGATTTGATTGGCATACATGGGGGCATTCATGGCTTTAGCAGATTAAATACATTTCTAAATGTTTCTACTAATAACGTATCAAATACAGTCATTCATGAAATGTGAGGAAGAGATTGGACTTCCTTTACAAATCAGAACAAATGAACGAGGAGAAACTGTAGCTGTGGCATCATACATGATGAATTATTCAAGTCCACAGATTTATGTTAGTGCTGGAAGATCGTACTACCGTCACTATCACGATCGATAGTCACAAAACTATCTCAATTGTAAATACTATTGCGATATACACGTGTCAATAATATTTCAAATTTTAAAAGAGTATAATATAAATAATGAGTAATAACATAAGAGATATTTGTTTGTATCTATTCACGATGTTCACTTAAGAGAGATTCTCTGATAAAAAACTAACATATTGACTGAAGCTGGTTGAAGACATGCCCTTTTCATGTTGACAATATGGCCAGCAGCACTGAAAGCTCTCACTGATGGCACAGAAGTAGCTGGTTTTGCCAGATATTTCTTAGCCAAAGTAGACAACATGGGATACCCAAAACTATTCAGTTTCCACCACAGCAATGGGTTTTTAGTTACATCTGGCTCAGATAAACACATTGCAACTTCTGCAACTGATTTTTGCTGGAGATAATGTGGGTTGTAATGCATCAGATTCTGGTATGCATTACATCACTTAGTAATTCAAATAGTTCCCATTTACCTTTTGCTTTCTTTGTTGAAGGAGGCATTACTGCTGCACTGTCAGTGTCAATATCAATCTCATCCACTGCTGAATGATTCGATTCAGCTATCTGTCCAGCCTCTTGGCTAATGAGATCATGCAATTCATTCACTTCAATGGGTGACAGAAAAGGATGGTTCTTCAAACGTGGATCAAGGAATGCTGCCTTGGAAAGTAAAAGAAGTAAGTTATCGGTGTATTGAGACCTGAAGTTATTATTCATTTCTGATTTCATTTTCTTTGCTAAACTCGTGTCACTTGATATTTTAATGAGATGTGATTTCAAAAGTTTATGAAGAAGTGGTCTGAGTTTTGAAATTGTTACCCATTTTTGAGCACTAATGGCTTCTTTAATAGTAACCAAAGGCTTCGTCACATCTAAGTAGACATCCATTGTTATAAATTCGTCATCTGAGGGGAAAAGATCAGCCCATTTAACATCTAGTAATGCTGCAAATAATGGCTGCTGTTGCTCTACTACTCTAGCAATCATATAGTATGAGGAATTCCACCTCTTTGTAACATCCTGA